AGAGAGAGAGAGAGAGAGCTCTGGTAGCGTAGTGGTTATGAATTAGGCTGCGAGCTGTAAGGTCAGCAGTTCGAAACTACCAGGTGTTCCACAGGAGAAAGATAAGGTGTTCTGCTCCCGTAAAGATTTACAGCCTCAGAAATCATGTACAGGGTCACGGGGGGGAAAACAAACAAACCTCTAATTATCATCACCAAAGCAAGCGGTCAGACCCAGTGCTTGATTTCATGTTTATGGTTATTTCTGAGATACGATCATTGTGTGGATAAAACTTTTCTTCATTACTCTCTTGGTGGTGGTAACAAACTTGAGCCTGGCTTCTATTTATTCACCTTCTTGTTATTGTTGTTGTTGTTAAGTGCTGTTGAATCGATTCCAACCCATAGCGACCCTGCATAGGGTTTCCAAGGCTGTAAATCTTTATGGGAGTAGAAAGCCTCGTCTTTCTCCTGCAGAACAGCTGGTAGTTTCAAACTGCTGACTTTGAGATTAGCAGCTTGATTCGTAACCACTACGCTACCTAGATTAGTGCAAGTTTATAGCGTATGCATAATTATATCAAGTTGTTGTTTGTAAGTCCCATTGAGTCAGTTCCAACTCGTAGTGACCCTGTAGTAGGGTTTCTGAGGCTGTAAATCTGTACAGGAGCAGAAAAGATGGTGGACTCAAACTGCCACCTTTGAGGCTAGCAGTCCAGTGTTTCTCCTACAGACTCACTGCACTCCCTCTGAAGAGCTCTTATCCTAGGTCTCATTCCTCAGAGAAGAACCGTAGGACCTAATAAGATACCCCTGCCAAAGCCTGGGATTCCCAAGAACCAGGCCCAGCCCCCATAACCAAACTTCTGCTGAGTAAGGCTCCCTCAAGATTAGCAGGAAAGGAACATGAGTGAAAGAGGTCCTATTTCCATGTGAGGGGGAACTGAAGAGCATGGATCGGAGGGAGGGAGGGAAAAGCCTTCGTCCCCTAGGGCTACCGTAACAAAAAAATACCACAAAGTGGGGGCGGGGGGTGGCGCTTGAAAGAAATTACAGTCTCATGGTTTGGAAGCCAGAAATCCAAATCGGTGCATGGGCTCTTGGGGAGGGTCTCTCCTCATCTGTAGCCCCGGCATTCCTTGGCGTTCTTTGGTGTTCCTTCACCTTTTTCTTTGTGTGTGTGACTCTCCCTGTCTGTTGTTCCTTTTTATAAGCCACCGCACTGGACTTCCAGGGTGGTTTGAACTGCAAAGTTGGCAGTTCAAACTCAGCAGCCACTCCTCGGAAACCCTATCTATGTAAGGTCGTTATTAGTGGGAAGGACTCATAGGGACTTAACAACAACTCTGGTATCCCTAATTAACATAAAAAAGGCTCAAAGCCACAGTATGAGGATTAAGAGTTCAACATATCTTTTGGGAAAACCCAATTCTATCCTTAACCAAGGGTATCTGCAAATAACGGATCATTGGTAATGGGGTATTTTGTCTTTCAGGGTTACCTGTCAGAAGGATTAGTGACCAAGTGGTACCGCTCACCCCGCCTGCTTCTCTCCCCAAACAACTACACCAAAGCCATCGACATGTGGGCTGCCGGCTGCATCCTGGCCGAGATGCTCACGGGAAGAATGCTCTTTGCTGGTGAGTTACTAACATGCCACCTTCCTTCTCTTTTTATTAAGTGCTGTTGAGTCAGTCCTGACTAACAGTGACCCTGTATAGAGTCTCCAAGGAGCAGCTGGTGAGTTTGAACCGCTAACCTATTGGTTTAAACTGACCTTATGGTCCAGTGCTTTGTCCCACAGTGCCACACCAGCACTCCTTTCTTTCTCTTATGCTGGTGTTTTTTTATAAAAGGGACAACTGAGTACAAAACCAAGTTAATCACAAAACACACTAACCCTGCTCTTTGAAATGACCTCCATGGCTCTTATGGCATCACTTTGGTATACTTTATTAGAATTTTGGGCAAAATCCTGGAGAAGATCATTTGAGTATAGAACTTTTGAAATCAATTAACTACTTGTATCAAGACTCGGTAAGATTGAACACCAAAGACAGCATCCACGCTACATTTTCAGCCAGCTTCTCTTTCTCCCTGCCTCTGTGTCCCTGTCCTGCTGCCACACCATCACCCACGGCTCTCGGGGTGTATAACATCAGCTTCTTCACCTTGATTCAAGTCCCTTCTCTGCCTGAAAAACTCCTACTGAACCTTTAAAACCCAGCTTGTGTCCTGTCCCTGGTGACCCCATGTGTGTCCCCAGTATACTCCATACTCATCCTCTTTGTGTGTCTGTCTGTCTCTAACTCCCAGGGTGTGGGTCACACTGTGTGTATTCCCGGTGTACTCCATACGCATCCTCTTTGTGTCTGTGGTTTATCTTCTGTTTGTCTGTACCCTAAGCACCCCCTCTCCGTCCCACCCCCCACCCCGTTCCACCCTCACCCTGGATGCTGTTCTCATCATTCAGCAAGTTTCAGCACCGTCACCTCAGGCTCACTCTGCAAGCCCACCTCGTCCTCGCCCACCATTGCCACTTGGCTTTTTAAAAACCAGCTCTTCTTGGTGACACATGCCAGCCAGATGGCCTCTCCTTGTCCCTGCCTCATCTTCTTTGTGCTGACACCCACTGATATCCTTGTGACTCCCCACACTGAGGACTCTGGCGCCAACACCATGGCCTCCCCTCACCGTGTTGTCCCACTGTCACTGGGCTACTGGGCTGACTTGGCTAATATCCTGGCCTGAGGGTTTCCCCACCTCCGTCACCCTGGCAGAGGTGGACAAGTGAGGGAGGCTCAGTGGTGACTGGAGAAGTCACTCAGAGTACAGCATCATGATCCCTGGTCAGTGCATCACAGGGGAGCAGTGCTGGGGCTGTGAGCAAGGTCTGTACCTGTCTGCAGCCAGACTTCCCATGGGCCCACTGCTTCTTGGGGTGTGTGGGAGGATCTGGAATGTTCATTTGCAAAGGGAACCCCATAGAGGGCTCCCAGAAGTCCCTCAACTGACCTTCCCTGAGACTTCTGCACAGTAAGGCCAAGGTGACATCTTCAAGGTAGATCCTGATTCTACAGGTGCCTGTTTGGTCAGCACTGAGGCACCCACGTAAGCTTAATGCAGCACAGGCATCTTGGAGCGGCATGATAGAAGGCGAGAATGGGACCTGCATCCTAGGCCACCAGCTGCAGGCAGACTAGAATCCCATGCAAGTCCATACATAGTAAGGGGAGGGCCTATGTGCACCCAGGGGAGTCAGAAGGCTGCATGAGAAAGGAAATGATTGGTCAAGGATTTAACCTGGTACAAGGAAGTGGAAAGGCTACTACTCAAGCAAACAGAGGCAATGGAGCACAGCCAGGAGGCAGGCGTAGCCACCATCAGCATTGTGAAAGCTCTGAGAAGTAGGTGGTGGGGAAGATAGAATGAAATGAAATGAGACGCATAAAGACTCAAGCTTCTCAAGGATGAGAACTCTGTCTTATTCCTCCTCGGTGTCCAGCATGATACCCAGCCTGGAGAAAGTTCTCAGTAAATAAGTATTTACTGAGTGAATGACTGAGTGGAGGAATGCATGAATGCATATTTGATCCAACATGTCCTACAGCCTTCTCCCCCCAGGCCTGGCTTAGCCTGTCCCCCTCCCTCTGCCCCAATGAGCAACAGCAGCATGGGCTTTGCTGCAGTCTTGTCAACCTAGTTGACCAAGATGCATCCCAACCAAACTTGTTCGCCCTGATTGTTTTTCTCTTGAGAGTCTTCTGGACAGAGGCCTCCACATTGGAAACTAAAGGATAAGGCTCATTTCCTGGCCTGGCCTGGAAAAGTGTGTGCAGAGAATGGTGTATGGGAATGCACTCTTGGAAATTTGGGGCCAAGCTGTCCCCATCTCTTTCGCCCTGAGTGATTCAGTTTTATATCAGACTGGTCCATCAGAGTCACAGAACATTTGGGGAATGGAGAGGGCCTCAGAGACAACCAGATTCAAACCCTTCTTTCTGCATTTGATGAAGCCAAGCCCCTGCCCACAGCAAGGTGGTCCAGAGTGGAGACCGTAACCCTGGGAGCCATTTCTTGAGCTTCTTGGTCAGCCCCTGTGACTGTCTGTCTTTGCCTCCCCAGGGGCTCACGAACTGGAGCAGATGCAGCTCATCCTGGAGACCATCCCTGTGATCCACGAGGAGGACAAGGACGAACTGCTCAAGGTCATACCTTCCTTCATCAGCAGCACCTGGGAGGTGAAGAGGCCACTGCGCAAGCTGCTCCCTGAAGTGAACAGTGAAGGTACCTGAGTGTTGAGGACAGGTCTCCTTCCAGAAGAGAAAAGCACAGTCCTTGGATGTAGAGGTTGAGGCTCCCGGCTATGTCTACTCAGGAGTTTGGTCATTAGACAATCGTTTGTGGTTCTCCCTGTTTTCTCTCCTCTTGTTGCTCTCCTGTCCTTCCCTTTCTCTCTTGCCTTCTTCCCTCTCCTCTTACTCCATCCCCCTGCTCGGATGGCATGCTGCAAAGTCGAGGAGCTTCGCCACTTTGAGAGGCAGAACCAGGTTCAATTCCCAGTTCTCTCAGTGATTAGCTGTGTTGCCTTGAGCAAGTTACTAAACTTCTCAGAATCTCAGTTTCCTTAACTGCAAAATGGGTTTAACAATACACATCACATAGGGTCCTCACGAGGATTAACTAAATAGAAGTTGTCAAAGTCCCTGGCACTGCTGAATTGCTCTATAAATCTCATTGTCATCCCCAACCCTAGCCACATTTATGACCCCACTGAGAGCAGAAAACTGAGCTATGGCTGGAAATTCCGATGTGTAAGAGACAGTCTGAAGAGTAGGAATGTTCAGAGATATGGCCTAAGAGGCCAAGAGAGCTCCTAGCATTCAGGGAAGGGGAGAGAACCTGGCCCGGTCCAGCCAGGACTCAGGTAAGCATGACAACCCGTGAGGGCTCCCATTAGAGGACAAGTCACAGCCCGATTGTTGGAAGTGGCTCTGGAGAGGGGAGAAAGGTCAAGAGGCTGTAGGGCTTTAACTGTTCAGCTGATGAGCTTGGACTTGATCCTGCAGCTGGACAGATGTCCACTGAAGCCAGGTTTGCTTTTCCTTCTCAACGTACCAATGTCAACCCAAACTCTCTGACCTTGTACAGTAACCCCTGAAATATCAGTAGAAGGGACACTCGGGAGGCTGGTGCAGTGGTTGCTGGCCAGCCAGTATGAAAAGATTTCAGGATTTCAGCAGCCAGTAGGGTGATGGTGCCTGATCAAAACTTTTAGTGTAGGGGGTTGGGTGGATGGAGTATCCTGGGAAAGATGTGCCCAGTGCGGAGCTGGGTCTGCACAGAAGTAGCCCATTCTTCCAAATCCTGGGAATTATGTGATTGATCCTCTTCCAGGTCCTCATCCCTGGACCTGAAACACCCTGGGTGAGACAGAGGTGTGGGGTGGTCAGAGTACCTCCTGCCTCACTAATCTCTGCCTCAGGCTCTCCTGGGCACCCATCCATTTCCTGAACCAGTGATAAATTCTTCTGCAAAGAGACCTGGGGCCAGTGGGGAGGGCAGATTAATGATATCAACTCAGGCCCCCAGGAAACCCCTGGGAGAGGGTGGGAACAACAGGCTTCCCATGTGGGCTGTCACACTATTAATCATGTCGTGGTTTCAGTGGGACCTCCAGACTCTGGCACTGAGAATTAAGACAAGTCTCCAGGCTAGCCCTTACCATGAGCTATCCCAGAGCACGAAGGCTCCCTACCCCTGCTCAGAGGAAACGGGTCCTGCGAAACTGTTTGCAGAGCTAATGTGCAGTCAGCACATGCCCATCACATGGTACCAGCTGCGGGCATCTTGAACTGTTTTCATGCTGGTTGGCCAGTAGCCACTATACAAAGCTCCTCAATGTCCCTTCCCTTCCCACCGGGCCCAGCTGCCCAGAGCTGCCTACTGATCTAGCCATGGTTACACAGCAAGGGAGCTTCAGCCAGATTGTGAAGTATTTTGAACATCAAATCTGTGTTTTCAAACCTCCAAGGGTGGCACAAAGTAGAAACAGCACCAGACTTGTGCCAGGAGCTCTTGGACTAGCAAGACCCCATCCATAAAACATTTGTGACCCTCAGCTCCTGAGAGCAGCCTCAGGAGGATAGTCTGCATAATCCCAACCTGTGACCAATGGGAGTGGGTGTGTAAACACCCCAGATTCCTCGCCCCTCAAGCAGAAACACCCCCCATGTATGCTCTCTGCTGGTTCCCAGAGGACCCCAGTGGGACTGAACCCTAGTTGCCTGGCTTCTCCTTCTTCACTCTATACCAAACATACCAGTCACCATATAGATGTTCACCCTTCCTCATCCCAAACAGACCTAAAACCAACCCCGTCTTGACATAGCTCCACAAACCCTGGTGAAAACCCGGGCCTGTCCAGCCACCAAGTTACCCTTCAGTGCCTGTTTTAACATAGCTGGGTCTGAAATGTCATGGGGAGAGGCAGCCAAATGGGGGAGCTGGATTAGCAACTGCGTCCTTGAGGGGTAGTATTGGCTTCTTCGTATGGATTCTCTCAATGATGCGTCCCAGGACCACCTTCCCTATAAGCTACCCACACCAAATCCTTATGCTGCTTCGGTCTCTAGAAAACCCAACCTAAGGTAAGCTTCTAGCCGTAGACCTCCCCTCACCCTCAGTGGGTCCCTGAGCAAAGCGCTTTCTTCCACGGGGCCTCTATTTATTGCTCTAGGACTTCGAAAAGGCTCTTCCTTCATCACTGGCTTGTGGGGAAGGCTCATCAGAAAGAAAATGGCTAGAAACCTGCTTTGCAAATAGAAAACTTCCAATACGGGATTGTCTCCACCTAGCAGGAGCAACGTAATAACCTTGTGATCTGTCTGCTCCCCACAGCCATTGACTTTCTGGAGAAGATCCTGACCTTTAACCCCATGGATCGCTTAACAGCCGAGATGGGGCTACAGCACCCCTATATGAGCCCCTACTCGTGCCCTGAGGATGAGCCCACCTCACAACATCCCTTCCGCATCGAGGATGAGATAGATGACATCCTGCTGAGAGCCACCAACCAGAGCCAGCTCTCCAACTGGGACAGGTGCAGTTCCAGGGACCCACATCCCGCCCTCCTGTATGACTGTGTCTTCTGCCTTCCAAGTCATATAAGGTGTTGGCCACTTCTCCCAATTGGCCTTCCTGCCTTTCTCTCTCCTACACCAGACAATCCCAGTAACTGTTCCCAGCTGTGTCCTGCATATGCAGGGGGATGGAGACCTGCCTCTGTGCAGCACAGCCACCACCAGTTTCCATCAACACAGGACTATTTACAATGAAATTCAGTCAACATTTAATGAGCACTCAACCTCAAGGTCGGTTTGAACCACAAGGTTAGCTGTTCAAACTCACCAGCTGCTCCTCAGAAACCCTATACAGGGTCACTATGAGTCAGAACCAACTTGAGGGCATTTAACAACAACTGTGTACAACCTAAAATCAAAGCCACTCACAGATTCAGACTCACAGTGTCCCCGGAGGACAGAGACGAACTGCCCTAGAGAGTTTCCAAGGCTGTGAATCATTAGGGAAACAGGCTGCCACCGCCTTCCCCTGCAGAGGGCTCCAACAACCAATCTTTCAGGTAGCAGCCAAGCACTTTAGTCACTGAACAACCAAAGCTCCTTATAGAAGTCTATTGTGCCGTGAAGTCAGTTCAGACTCACAGTGACCCTGTGAACAGCTGGTGAGTTTGAACTACCAACCTTACCATCAAGTGCTTATCCTACAGTGCCACACCAGGATTCCAATAGAAACTCACACTGAACTGTGAACCACAGGTCAACAGTTCAAACCTACCAGCTGCTCCTCGGAATCCCTATAAAGGGTCATTATGAGTTGGAATTGACTGAACAACACTTAACAACATTATATAATATATATTGGAGTGCGGTGGCTCCGTAAGATCAGCGGTTTGAGTCCACCGCAGAAGAAAGATGAGGCTTTCTGGTCCTGAGAAATAACTAAGCCTCCGAAACCCTGGACAGGGTTGCTATGAATCTGAATTGATTCAACAGCACTTAACAACAACAATTATGTCTATGTATATACATGGTGTCGTTGTGAAGTGCCGTCAAATTGATTCCAACCCATAGCGACCCTGTATAGGGTTTCCAAGGAGCAGCTTGTGAGCTTGAACCACCGACCTTACAGTTCAGCTTTGCAATCCGTCGCATAAACCCACAGTGCCACAAAAGGACTCCATATTTATATATTGTATATATATAAATATATATATGTTGCTGTTAAGTGCCGTCGAGTCGGTTTTGACTCATAGCGGCCCTGAACAGGGTTTCCAAGGCTGCAAATCTTTACTATGGGAGCAGAAAGCCTCATCTTTCTCCCGCGGAGCAGCTGGTAGTTTCAAACTGCTGACCTTGAGGTTCGCAGCCTAATGTGTAACCACTACAGAGCCATATATATACAAAATAGGTTGTCAGTTTGAATTCACCCAGCAGTGCTACAGAAGAAAAGGCCTGGTGATCTGCTGGTTAAGATTGGTTTTCGCCATCAAGTGGATATTGGCTTATAGCCACCCTGTGGACAGAGTAGAACTGCCCCACAGAGTTTCCAATCCTGTAATCTTTATGGAGAGCAGAAAAGAACAGGCCTTTTCTCCCCCGGAGCCCATGGTGGATTCAGTTAGCAGTCGTGTACTTAATAATTACTCCACTAGAGCTCTTTCCATTAAGATTACAGCCATGAAAGAAAGCCCTACAGAGCAGGTCTGCTCTATAACATATGGGGTCGCCATGAGCTGGGGTCCATGACAACTAACAACTACTCTTGTTGTTGTTGTTAAGTGCCATCGAGTCGGTTCCGACCCATAGCGACCCTGTACAGGGTTTTTGAAGCTGTCAATCTTTACAGGAGCAGAATGCCTCATCTTTCTCCTGCGGAGCGGCTGGTAGTTTCGAACTGCTGGCCCTAAGGTTCGCAGCCCACTACGCTACCAGAGAGAACTTAATGATCCCCACTAAAGGAGGTCACTGCCAGCAGGCTGGGGATTTGCCCTTGAAAAGTAAACTGCAACAATTCAAGACAAGAAAAACAAAAAATACAAAGCGTTCATTCATTACAAAACACGTTCAAGTGTGTCGCACTGTTAAGAGAGTCTCCAGTATCGTGATTGTCCATTTTCAGATGAGAAGGTTAGATCGGTCACACAGCTAATTCCTGGCCCATGGGGGCCCTCCCTTATCTGATCCATGTCAGACACTGCTAGTCAATGACAGGACTCTTTGCTGCCAAACTGGGCTCAGCCTCAGAATCCTTCTTAACACAGTGTTCCGAGACACCACTGCCAGTGTTGGGGAGAAGACACATGCTTTACAATCTCTGCCTAAGCACGTACTTTCCTGTTCTGACGTTCTTACATCTAGCAGCTAAATCCTGGGCCATCCCCATCTGCTAATCCTGGGAGGCAGTGTTGGGAGCTGCTCAGTTTAGAAATAGAAGCTGAGGGCTCAGCAACTAGGACTCTATGGGAGCCCAAGTGGGAGTCCCACTGCCGTGGGAAGTGACAGCTAGTTACGTAAGTGACAGATGAGCAATTCTTCTGCTCAGTCACATGACAGATGATAGCTTTCAGATAAGGAGGCACCAAGGGAGGGCTAGGGCAGCGTTGCTATTTTTGAACAGGTTTGTTGTTGTGGTTGATTATGGCTCTCACCAGTTGGCAGCAAATAAAGATTAATGAAAAGTCTCTCTTCTGCTGCCCCAGACAAGGCTTTGACTCCGGTCCCTGCGAGCTCTCCCACTCCACTCCACAGTATTTAGAGGCACAGAGCACTGGCTCTTTATGGCCTCTCCTATTCTTATCACAGCTGGCGCACAGGGTGAGTGCACAGTTTCTCTGGCTGCCACCCATCAACTGTGACCTGCTCTAACCCAGTACACCTAAGCCCCTGGCCTTTCCTGTCATAGCTGTGTAAGGGAGGAGACAGGGCCTGCAGGGGTGACAGGAAAGGCTTCCCTTGAAGCTCTGCTGCTTTGGGCAAACTGCTTAACCTGTTGGAATGCCAGTTTCCTCATCCATAAAACATGAAGTCTATACCCTTGCTAAGGAACTCTGGTAGTGTAGTGGTTATGAATCGGGCTGTGAACCTTAAGGTTAGCAGTTCGAAACTACCAGCCACTCCGTGGGAGAAAGATGAGGCTTTCTGCTCCCGTAAAGATTTACAGCCTTGGAAACCCTGTACAGGGTCGCTATGGGTTGGAACCGACTCGACAGCACTTAACAACAACAATATACCCTTGCTAAGAAGAGTACACAGCATGGCATAGAGCAGTCAAGGGTTAGGGTCTTCCTCCCAGAAATCTCTGCAGTTTGCAGACACTCAAGGAGTGGGTAAGTTCACCAATAGAAGTAACTCTTGCTCTTCTGGTTTGAGCCAGTGGTGGTCAGTTTGGGAGCGTTCCATGCCTTTCAGCCACACCCAGGGACACAAACCCGCCTGTCCTTGGTTGATTGGTTTTCCTGAGTTAGCACTCGGCCTCCTGTTCGGGATCAGCTGGCTACTATATGATGCTTCCCCTGGGTTCCCTGCCTCCCTGTGTTCTGTGTGGAGCAGCTGGCATAGGGTGGAGTTAAGGTACTCAGCTAGAGCCCACAGTCCATCTGCCCTTCATTTGCTCCTGGTTAGGTCTAGTGGCAATGGTTAAAGCACTGAGCTGCTAACAGAAAGGTCAGCAGCCTTGGAAAGCCTATGGGGCAGTTCTACTCTAGTCCACTCAAGGGCACCTAACAAGATCAGACCCCCATCTCCATGGCGACAGGACAGCCAACAGGAAGTGAATCCCAAGGCCTTTGGCCTATCCCAAAGTTGTCTGTAATGGGTCCTGGGTCTGAAGACCTCACCTGCTTTACCTCTCTGTAGGGTGCTATGGAGTATCCAGCCAGATCCACGGGGGCAGAGGTTCTCAACCTGGGCTCTGCCTCAGAACCAACTGGAAAGTTTAAACAAAATTGATGCAGCTCCTTATACTTGTTGTTAAGTGCCATTGAGTCTGTTCCAACTCATAGCAACCCTGTATAGGGTTTCCATGGAAGGGCTGGTGGGTTTGTGCTGCCAACCTTATGGTTAGCAGTCCAGTGTTTATTCTACAGCACCAGTTGGGGGTATGGGCTGGCCTGGTATTTTGTTTGTTATTCCCTATGTGATGTTAATCTGCAGCTGAGATTGAAAAGCAGCTAATCCTTGGTACTCAAAGTGTGGTCCAAGGACCAGCAGCATGGGTATCCTGGGGAAGTTGTTAAAACTACAGACTTTCAGGCCCCACCTTGGAGCTCCTGACTCAGAATCTGCATTTTAACAAATATTCAGGTCTGTGTGCACATCAGAATTTGAGGAACATTGTGGGGGGGTGGGGGTCCACTAGAAAGTAAGTTCCTGTTTTGTTCACTCCCGGGTGGTAATGCCTAGAGCAATGCCTGGCACATAGTCAGCGGTCACCAATATATGGAGGGTGCTGGACACAGAGGTACAGCTAAGATTTGTCAGGTAAGTAACGAGTAGGGGGTCCCACTGAGCAGTCTCTAACCCCATCAGGCCCTAGTGGTTGCTGCAAACCGAAAGGTCAGCAGTTCGAAACTACCAGCTCTTCCGCGGTAGAAAGATGAGGCTTTCTGCTCCCGTAAAGATTTACAGCCTCGGAAACCCTTTACAGGGTCCCTATGAGTCAGAACCGATTCCACTGCACATAATAACCACCACAAATATGAAAGACGTATTTCTGAAGCAGCTAGACAAGATGGGGAAAGGGTTCTGCTGAAAGCTTGCACCTGTATTCATCTTGAAATTGAGGTTGGGGGTTGGAAAGACGAGAGGAGCAATTTAGAGATTGCCCCTGGGCGCTCAAAGGAAGTGGTGGTGGTGCTGTGGAGTCGGTTCTGACTCATAGGGACCCTGTAAAGAGTTTCCGAGGCTGCAAATCTTTACGGGAGCAGAAAGCCTCATCTTTCTACCGCGGAAGAGCTAGTAGTTTCGAACTGCTGACCTTTCGGTCAGCTAGTTGCCTCTGGAGTTAATCTCCATTATACCCAGTTTGAATGAATACAAAGGAAACCTAACTGCCATCTAGGGCCAAGCTGCACAATTAGCCTCCTGCCTGAGCCCTCAAAGCCCACCCACCCTGTCCCATCACTCAGTCACCTGGGGGCAAGAAGCACATGGAATGGATAGGGGGCCTGTGGGTGGCAGAGGGCTTGGGGAGCCAATCTCTGACCCGTTTGTCCCCTGGCAGGTACCCTGTGAGCCTGTCATCGGACCTAGAGTGGCGGCCTGACCGGTGCCAGGATACTAGCGAGGTGCAGCGTGACCCGCGCGCGGGCTCGGCGCCGCTGGCCGAGGACGTGCAGGTGGACCCGCGCAAGGACTCACAGAGCAGCTCAGAGCGCTTCCTGGAGCAGTCGCACTCGTCCATGGAACGCGCTTTCGAGGTCGACTACGGCCGATCCTGCGACTACAAGGTGGGCTCGCCGTCCTACCTAGACAAGCTGCTCTGGCGAGACAACAAGCCGCACCACTACTCGGAGCCCAAGCTCATCCTCGACCTATCACACTGGAAGCAGGCGGCCGGCGCGCCCCCTACAGCCACGGTGGCTGCAGACGCGGTAGCACGCGACGAGGAGCCAGCCAGCCTCTTCCTGGAGATTGCCCAGTGGGTCAAGAGCACACAGGGCGGCCCCGAGCGCTCCAGCCCGCCCCCTGATGGTCCCGAGCGCTGCCTGGCTACCTCACCCCCGAGCCACCCGGACCCTGGTGACAGTGGTGCCAGCCCCCAGTTCGACCTGGACGTGTTCATCTCCCGCGCGCTCAAGCTCTGCACTAAGCCCGAAGACCTGCCGGACAATAAACTCGGTGATCTCAATGGCGCGTGCATCTCCGAACACCCTGGCGACCTTGTGCAGACGGAGGCCTTCTCCAAAGAAAGGTGGTGAGGGTCGAAGGGTTACTGGAGGCCCCAGGACTGCCCTCACAGTCCCCAGGGGCAGACCCCCTGGGGAAGCTGGACCTGGCTGGAGGGGACAGATGCCCTGGCCCCTCCACCACTCTTCCTGCCCCTTTCTGATGCCTTGGGGTGTGCAGATTGTGTGAAGGATCCTAGGAGCAAGAGGAATGTCCATTTCCTAAACTGCCTTAATAACTAGCCTTTAACCTCTGGGAGCAGGTTGTAACAGGTGCCCCTCTTGGGGGCTTCCCAGCGCTGGGGGAGACCTGTGAATTTTATAAGTGGCAATGTGCAGGGAGGAACCACCATCTGCAGGCCCTACCAGAGAAACCTTGCAGCCAATGCTCTGAATCCATCTGGCCCAGGTAGGAAGAATGATTAGGACCCCAAGAAGCAAAGCAACTGTTTTAAGATTGCAGACAGAGTCTGTATCAGGCAAGCCTGGAATCCCAGTCTCCTGACCCTAGGCCAATGTCTGTATCCTAGATAAAGTCTTCCTCTGGCTTTCCAGTCAGAAACCTGGTCCAAGATGTTTCTTCCCAGCCATAGCCATCTGACCTATTCATCATCCTGTTATTCAGAGCAATGTTTCTTGTATTCAGAAACTGGAAATTCAACTAGTTGATTTTCCCCATCAACAAGCAAATATTTTTCTGGCTCCTCAAATACTTATTTGCCGTACCGCCTCCCCACATCCCCAATGTGGTCAAAAGTCTGCATTGCAGACCAGACCAATTTGGGGTCTCCAGGTCAGCTCAAGCATCTCCCAGGCCTATGTGCACAGCTCCCCAGCAAGCCCTATGCACTTTCCTGACATGCACGCAGACACAAAGAGACAGCCCTAGTTTCCAAGTGGTTGTCATTACAGGTGAGTTTGAAAACAGCAATTCCAAGAATCCCACAGTCCTCCCACCACCACCACCCACCTGCCCACACACAGCTCCTCTCCAAGCCTACCTCGGGACCCACTGTTCTCAGCAAGAATTGCTCATTTGGATAACAGCTGCCCTCCGCGGAGCAAATATGTTACTGTAGGTTTTGCTAGAGTCCATTCCGCTTTATGAACACCGCCCTTCATTTGAGCCCATTCATGTAAGTATCTACCTGGCCAAGAGCAGGCCCCAGAGAAATAGCCTGGACACCTAGGGACTTTGGAGGCAAGGAATCAAGAAAGGTAGGAAGGTAGGAAAGGTGGGGGGTGGTGGCACAGCCTGGGGACTCCAGGACAAAGATGGGACTCCAAGCAGCCATGCCCCTCAATAGGTTAGGCCAGGATATATTTGCAGCATGCTGACCCAGGGGCCCATCATACTATGAGCAGGGGGTGGTAGTATGTGGACACAGTAGACCCTCTACAAAAGCATGGGGTCACCACTGACAGTCCCCTCCCAATCCAGTGTCCTGGAGTGCTCTGTCATTCCCACCACGGGTACTCAGTTCTTCTCACACACCCCACCCCAGAGTCTGTTGCCAGTCTGTAAGTAGAGGATTCCCAAGTATGGGCCTTGGGCTGTGTTCACCCTCGCCTCGCAGCACCTTAAATCTAATCAGCTTTGAAACCTGCAACACACTAGAAATATATTTAAAAAAACAACCCATCACAATGACCAATTTTTTAATGGGAAATATGTAAATATGAAGTGTTTAGGTTTTGGGGTTTTTTTAATGAAAAGGAAGTGTACGCCGCTCCTCATGTGCCATTTTGGTAAAGAAACAAGCTGCTGATCTGGACCAGAAGTTCATATATAATTGTTGTTACAGAGGAATTGTTATTATTACTCATGTTTTAAAAAAACAAAAATCTATTCAATGATAAAAACTTGATCTGGACAGGCCAAATAAAGTTTTATTGGAACTTAACCACACCCATTCATCTATGTATTATCTGATCCTATCTTTAACAGCAGTTGATTCATCAGAACCTGTTTAGCTTTTCAAGTCCCAGTGGAAGCCTCATTGTTTTGTGGACTTGAGGTTGGGAGGGAGGAGGAATCCCTATGGATTGGAAATGGAAGTGTTGTCAGAATCATCTGGGTCAGGCCTGATGTCTACATTGTGGATTTCAAACCATATCTTGAAGTGACTCCATATCTTGTGACCAGGCCTGTTCCTTCCTTTCAATCACAAAAGGCACTTACATAATGAGATTTGGGGAAACTTGTTATTATGAACTATCAAGTTGTTTCAACTCATAGAGACCTTGTATAAGGTTGGTTTGAACCACAAGGTGGACAATTCAAACTCACCAGCCACTCCTTGGAAACTCTTGATGGCACATAACAACAATAACACAGGGTTTCCAAGGAGCAGTTGGTGAGTTTGAACCACTGACCTTGTTGTTCAAACCGACCTTATAGTCCAGTGGGGAAGTTTAAAAATCTGCCAGAGTCACACCACACAGATGTTAGAATACCAGTCTCCAGTTCCTGAGAGTGGGCTCAGACTGCCCCGCCAGCACACTTGTCAATCAGCACTGCTGGTCCACGCCTAGTTGACAGATGTGGAGCCAGCAGGCCCTACTGTGGGAAAGAAGCAGCATATGAATGGCACAAGTTTAAGGCTAAAAACACAGCCTCATCTTCAACAATGATTTCATCCTCTGTCCTTCAGAGTTGCTAACAAGTAGACAGCAAAGGTTTACATCTTCTTTTCTTTAACTCCTGGGCTCATGCTGAAATAAGGCTTTAAATGCCTGAGAAATGTCTTTGCAGATAGAAGGACGAGGAGGACCAGAACATTGTATCAATCTATGTTACCTGTCATTCAAACGTACATGTGGTTGTGGTAGTTCCAATGACTGCTGGAGTTTGGCCATCATCGACAGGGGTTGCTCCCTCAGGGCTGGAATTTCTTGGGCAAGTGATTATGTCGAAGGAATGCTCTAATAAGAAGAGGAATACAGGAAGCAGATCACGGCAGGGGAAGACTGCTAAGCCAACATGTGGCCTGGGCAACCGACTAGCTTCATTCAGCCTGATCCCAGAATTACACAACAGAATTGATCTCACCTTGAGGAAAAGGGGAAGGACTTTTGTACCTCCATGTCAATCAATCATTGGTCCTTGACCGTGAGGAGACGCAAGTAGTGGCAATCCCCGTTCAGCCAATCACTGGGCAGCTAGAACTCACAGCAGCTGGGGATGGAGATACTTGCTATCTGGACAAGGGCACTCACTACACTAGGCTTGTGGGATAAAGAGGTAGAAAACGATGTTTAGACTTTGGGTGGATATAGGACCTCTGAGGTTCAAGGGGGAGATATTCAAAGCTTCCCACTTGGTGATCTTTCCCAAAGAGTAGTTCCAGGCCCTTCATTAGTGATTTCTGGGTGCTAATATTTCCAAATTTTACTTCTTTACCACTTTTTTGTTGTTGTTGTTATGTGCCATGGAGTCAGTTTCAACTCATAGTGACCCTGTACAGGGTTTCTGAGGCTGTAAATCTTTAGGGGAGCAGAAAGCCTCATCTTTCTCCTGTGGAACAGCTGATAGTTTCGAACTGCTGACTGTGAGATTAGCAGCCCGATTCATAACCACTACACTACCAGAGCTCCTTCACCACTACTCCCTGTGAAAAACATTGTCCATACTGACAAACGCTCAAGTAATCCAATCTGTACTCATTTTAAAGAGAGTGAGGTTTTCTTTATTTGATTTTGCAAACTCAGGTGCCCAACCCAGTAGACACAGGCAGATGTGCCACATGGCCCGCCCACAAACAGTTTTATTCCCCTGTCTCATAAAGGCCTCTCCTCAGGTTCCAATTCCCCATATACAATTCTATGGCATGTCCCATTTTCCTTCCCCACAGAGAAGCCAAAATGGCATGCCCATGGTCTTAAAATTTTTAAGTTCCTAATCCTAGAACAGATTTCTTTCTTCCTTTCCCCTAATTCATCCTGCTTACATATTCCTGGATGTAAATCAACAGTCTGTCTGCCTGGTCTAGCAATATCATGAATTCCTGAAGATGGACCACACCCACAAGAGTGATTTCTCACACTCCCCACCACAGAACCCTCAGCAGAGTAACTATATTGAAGATTTTCAAGATGATGTACTAGAAGGCCTCATTAGACTCAGAAGAGCTGTCATACTCATAGTTACAGTTTGGAAGAGAAGAAGGAGACAGCTCCAAATCAACAAAGTCCAAGGGAAATCAGGCACAAGCTTCCGGGTGTCCCCTCCCAGTGCAATCACATGTTAGAACCCCCTGGGATGATGAGAGATGTCATGTGCAAAGTCTTGTCAAACAGGGAAGCTCATTCAAGCCTTGGTGTCTGGGGTTATAATAGGAATCAATCACATATAGGCATGGACCACTCTGTCTCCCAGCCCTTCCCCCTTCCTCCCAAATTCAACTGCCACAGTGTAGACCCCGGCCTCAGGCATACAAAAACACACTTGCCAAGCAGAGCATTCCAGGGCTCAGAGTTTATCTCCCAGGAGCCAGTCAACCTGCTGAAGACTGGCCTTTCTTTGGGTCTGAGTAATAATGGCCTGCTGAGTTACCCTTTGCTGTACAGGGATAGTGAACCTATTTGCGTCTCTTTGTCACACTGTGGTCACTTGTATGTTGCTACGATGTTGGCAGCTATGTCACCAGTATTTCAGATACCACCAGTCAACCATGGTAAATTTCAACAGAGCTTTCCAACTAAGATAGACTAGAAGAAAGACTTGGAGCTCTACATCTAAAAATTAGCCAATGAAAACTCCGTGGAGTACACCAGAATAGTGTGGATTTATCAATCATGATGATCTAAGACCAGGCAACATTTTGTTCTATTATATATGTTGTTGTCAAGTGCCATCGAGTCGGTTCCAACTCATAGCAGCCTTGTAAAGGGTTTCCAAGGAGCTGCTGATGGGTTTGAACTGTCTACTTGGTGATTGGCAGTCCAGTGCTTACCTATAACACCACACTAGGACTCCATGAATCAGAGTCAGTTGGTCAGCAATGAGCAACAACATAACTGTAAATTTGCAT